CGTCCTGGGTGCCGTCCTGCCCCTCCAGGGCCGCTCACAGCCCTCGGCTCACGCACTTGAGGAAACCTGGGGGCGCGTGTCGTGCGGCCGAGTCTGGGCGAGCCCGGCAGGCGCTGCGGGGTGTCGCTGTGCTCCCCGGGCCGCGTTTGCCTCCCAGCAGAGGTCGGCGTGGCCGCCCGCCCGCCCGCACCTCACCGGGTCAGGGCTTCGGTTCCAGGTTACAGCCCGGAGCCCCTCGGCCTGCGGCCCTTCCAGCTGGCCGTGGCCCAGAAGCTCCTCTCGCACGTGTGCTCCATCGCCGACTCCAGCACCCAGAACCTGGACCTGGGCTCCTTCGAGAAGGTGGACTTCCTGATCTGCACCCCTCCCTCGGAGGTCACCTACCAGCAGACCCTCTTCCGCGTCTGGCAGTCAGGTACCGGGCTGGCCGGGGGCCGCTGCCCTGTCCTGCTTCAGTTGGGCGGGGGTTTCAGTGTCTCGGCCTCGAAGGCGAGTGGGGCGAGCACGAGCACCCCACTTTGTCTCTCGGAAATACCTGGTGCTGGGGGTAGGACCGGCCCCGGATTGGGAATCTGGAAAGCAGACCCACGCTTCGGAGCTCACTCGGTCCTGACTGGTCGGCAGCCTTCCTGCCCTGGTGTCCGGGCGCCGTGTGCCCACCCCGCGCCGTCGGGGATGAGCCGTGAGGCGCACGAGGCAGTGGCCTCACTCCTAGCAGCCGCTCTGGAGTGGCCACCTCGGCCCCTGGTGTCGGGGGTGGGGGGGCTCTGCTTTCCTCTCAGTCACCCCGCCCAGGGGTCACCTGCTTCCAAAGCCCCTGGGGGAGGGGCGGCTCCCCCCCCCCACAGCCTGCCTCGGGGCCCAGCTCCTGTACCGACAGCTGTGGACAGTGTTTGGGGGGCGGGGGGCTGCCTCTCCGCCGCCGTGGCGCCTGTGTCCGGGTGGTCTCGGGCCTCGCACCCCCCCCCCCGGGAGATGCCCGGGGGTGTCCGAGGCGTGAGTGGGAACTGGCGGCCGCATGTGGGGCGCTGACGGGCCCTCCCCGGCGCAGGGGTTCTGCTGGAGCTCGGCCTGGAGAAGGAGCACCTGACCAAGCAGAGGGTGGGGCGGTACGTGCTGAAGCTGGACGCCGAGGCACAGACCAGGTTCAAGTCCTTCCTGCAGAACTCCTTCCAGAACCCGCACACGCTCTTCGTCCTGATCCACGACCACGCCCACTGGGACCTCGTGAGGTCAGCGGGCTGGGCCTGGCCTTGGCCGGCCGACGTCGTCCGAGCAGCAGCTCATCCGGACGCTGGCACGCGTCCCGGGGGTGGGGGGAGTGGGCCTGGCACCCGTCAGCAGATGCTGTGGGTGCAGTTCGGAACCTCAGAGCCGAGAATTCTCTTACCATGCTGTGCAGCCTCAGAAGTTACTGTGGAAACTGAGGCTGGAGAAGGAAGCACCTGTCGAGCGTGGTGGCCTACTGGGGGGAGCAGCAGAGCGGCCTAGAGCAAAGGGCCCAGGGCAGCTTTGGCCGTGTCCACTCGGCAGCAGCACAGCACCTGCAGGCAGGGAGGGCCACAGGCAGCAGCAGCAGGGCCCAGCCTGGCTGCGGGGCCACAGCTGGCGCCCTGTCCTCAGGGTCCGCTTGCTCCTCACTTCACGTGAGCATAAATCTAGTGTTGCGCTCAGTCTGGCTGGAGTCCCAGCATGCCAGGGTCACTGTCCGTGTGAGCCTGGCTTGGGAGAGCAGCAAGACACCGCCGTGGTGCCGATGGAGAAGGCGGGAAGGCCCCAGCGCCAGGCACAGGACTTACAATCTAGTGTGAGGCCTGGGGGACCTGGACACCCTTAGTGTGAGGGCTGGGGGACCTGGACACCCTTAGTGTGAGGGCTGGGGGACCTGGACA